TTTTATGCAAAGTTTATTATGCAATTAAATGCTATTACAGTACTGGAATTAAGTAAATGAGAACAACTGAATTATATATCAACTATAATGTCAATCAGTAATTCTCAAACTGCTCTGCAAATGAGGCAAGTATTATTACACAGCTAGAGAGACATGACACATAATATAGAAGTGACTTGTCAAAGTCACCCAGTCATCTGAAGCCAAGTTTCTCAAGCTCAGAGCATTACTTTTCCTGTGAGATAATTCAGAGAGAGAAACTAAAACATGATATCTGGACCTTCCACTTTATAAACAATGGTTTGGCTTTTCATCCAGTCACAATAGGCTCATTAATAGAAAATCATACTCCAGTTTGATTGCCCTTGAGGGTATTTTTAAATAATTGCAATGAGTTTGCATCAGCCCACATATCATTAGTCAAAAGTTCACCAGAATGTGTCCCCTGGAAATCCATGAGTTCCTGATCATCAGTCCTAAACTCCTAAAATCCCTTCAGGACCCATCCACTGACCATTCTTTGTACCTATCTACTGCAGTCACATATACAGTAACTTATCTCCCAGAAGGCAGATGTTTTTCCTGAGAGGCACAGATCTGCCCTGTGCTAACACAAACCAGTTCTGCTCTGAGAACTTCTAAATTAAAAATAAAAGCAGGCAAACTGACCTCACTTAGGTTTCATCCAAAACTATTTTTGAAAGAGCTCTTGCAAGCCACTTTGTAAATCTTTGGGAGTTGTCATAGTGAAAAGTACCCTAATTTGTTCTTGCCAAACTTTGTTTCATGAGTTATGCAGTACGTAGTGATTTTCCTCAAAGACAAGAGCTAGTTGACTACAAGAGCAACTATACTTGACTTGAAATTGTAAAATGAGTATTTCATTCCAATGGCTGTCATAGTAAGTCTGAAAATATGATTGCAACATTCTTGAAAACTCATTGCAAAAAAGTTTTTTAAAATTCTCCTTTTTTTTCTTAATTTTAAGATTTTCTTTTTCATGGTTAGGTACAATATCTATGTGCAGAGTAAACAGTGAGCTCAACCTGTCGTACATGGAAGCATTTTCTTATCCTTCTTTTTTTTGCCATTGCTCACAGATGGGGTGGGTTTGTGATTCAAGAGCAAAACGGCACAGCAATTTTGACAAGACAACTGTTCCATACTCTTTAGCTGCCATCTTCCTCTTCTCTTTCAGGTGGTTCAAACTCTGGCAGTGGCCATCTTCCTGACCACTGGTACCTTGCTTTTCCTGGTGTTCCCACCATTAGTCTTCAGTTACGTAGAAGGCTGGAGCTACGGAGAAGGCTTTTACTTCACCTTCATCACCCTGAGCACCATTGGATTTGGGGACTATGTAGTAGGTAAAAAAGAATATTAACTGGATTGAGCTTCATTGAAATTCATAACTTCAGTATAAAACTAAATACAGGGAGCATAGATATCCATTCCACTACAGATCTGGTCAAGAGTGAGCTCAGCCAGACCTGTAGCCATGAGCTAATGTATTATAGGATATGAGCATTTCTTTTTCTCTTGACAGCCAACCTGAGAGTCACCCAACTCACTTCACACATGCCACTGAACACTCATTCAACAGTTGCTGTGTTCAGGCTGGTACAAACATTATCAAGAGTGAAAGGTGGAATATAAATAAAATTCCTTTTTCAGTATTAAGCCTTTGCTAACACTGATTTGTTTTAGCAAGTGCCTATAATTCCCAACAATAAATCCTATGAAATATTAAATAATCAGTACTTAAAATGTGGAGAAGATTACTGAAAACCAGAGATGCCTCTGAAAGAAAGCAAACCCAGTGACATTACATAGTCTTTAGACCTCTAGGTTGAGAATTTCGTGGTGGAGTCACGTGAGGGGCTATTTTTCCACACACTTACTTGGACAAATACATAATCTTAACAGATTACGTCTAAAGTGTTTATTTGTTAAAAACTCTAGGGTTTCTTGCTTCACAAGTAATAGCTCTCCTCTCCTAGAGGTCATAACTTTGTCGCAAAAAAAATAAAAAAGAATCCTATGCTGAATCTGGCGCTGTGGAGTTTCATGACTGTATCAGCTGCACTGATTGTCCGTGTGGAAATATCAAACCAGGGATTAAGATTCTCATAATCACTTAATTAAAATGGCTACATTGCCCATATTATCCAAGTGATTGTGAGTCCCACGTACTGAGGTAATATCACCCTTCAAAAAACAATCACTGTATCACTAAATTGTAGCTTTCTAAATTATCTGAAATCCCCTGTGTACCTTTTGAGTAAAATACGGTTAATATGGATTCAGCATTTAATTTCCAAGATTTTTTTCCTTTTTTATTGGCTAGGAACCATTGACTTTGAACATCTCTGGTTAATATTAGATATGGCTATTTTTATTATATAGCCTCGGCTTCAAGGATTTAATGCTAACTATGCTAAGCTTAACCTGAGAGTTAGCATGAAAAAAAAAAATCTATCTGCTGATGGATCACACAAGCTCATTAACACATACACTTTTGCAAGGAGTGGACAGGGTGTATGAGTATGTATGTTTAGCAGGCCAAAGCTGCCAAGATAAATATACACATTTCTCTGTATTTTTCAGGCACAAACCCCAACAAGCACTATATCTCCGTGTACAGGAGCCTAACTGCGATATGGATTGTTTTTGGCTTGGCCTGGCTGGCTCTGGTGTTCAACGTGGGAGCTGACTTGATGGAAAGATACCTTCAGCTAAAGTGGCACAAATCTGACTTAAGCTTGGCAGAAGGCGACACCACCAAATTGGAAGATGAACCTGAGCAGCCTAGAATCCATATCCCTAGCTGAGCAAGGTACAAAGAAAGCAGTCTTGAAACTGCATCTTCCATCTGTATCTCACACTAAGCGACCCCTGTGGATAAAGGACTAAACCACAGGGTGTGGATTGTTTCCTAAAGAGGAAATGTTTCAGGTAGGTGGAAATTTCCACACCCTGTGTAGGCATCAGCCAGTTAAAACCCCAAGGAAGGAGCATACATGATAACATAGCTGTGCCAGGATTCATTTTACACTTCTCATTCAGGCAACTTCCCCTGAAGTAACCAATTATTATCCTTTTTCTTTCTCTAGTGGGATTCAGTTCTTACAGTCACTCATTTTCAAAAAAAATCCAAAGTGACTGCCTCCCAGCTTCAATAAGAAGTCATTTCACCAAGAATCTCAAGTGGAAAAAGTCAGGTACAGAAATCTTTCTTCATTTCCAATCAAAAAATAAACAAAACCACAGAGGAATATCATCAGATATGAACACCTGCTTAATGACATCCACTCAATTAAGATTCAGTTGATATTATCTGAAATGAGCAGCTTTCATATAAAAGGACACAATTTCTGTATTTTCTGGGCTAAAATGTTTGTCTTTTAATTGTGAGGAAAATATGTGTCTGTCCAGCTCTGTCTGGACAATTTGTCTCAGAGCAAACTGCCAGCTCAAAGCAGGTCCTTATCACAGTTCATTTCACAGCCACCCGAAAACGGCACTTTAAACTAAATCTAAAACCAAGGAGACATCCTTATTTCTAGCCAGATCACAAATACCATTAGAGCCTGGAATTTCCTTTGGGCCAGTTCATAGAAGAGCCATTATGCACCATACAGAACTAATGCTGTACATTTACCTCTAAATAAGGCCAGTGATAGGTTCTTGCATTAAATCTGATGCTCAGTCAGGCCCATTGTGTGATTCATCAGAAACTGGGAGATTGAATTTATCCCAGTTATTGTAAGTCAAAAGCAGCAGCAGCCATCCCCAAAGGAGCTGAAAAACCAAAGTACATATATGCACCTAATAAGGGACTAGTCACTGAGATGCAGCTCTGTAGTCACACTCTCTATTAAAGTAAACTCCAGAAACTTGATAAAACAATTATCCATTCATTTGGGTACCATGCTCAATCATCACTAATATGTTCCATGGGTATGCTTGTAATTACAAGCATACAATACACACTGCTATTTATTCAGTATGTTTATATCTCGTAGTAACCATCAATTAATCTCTTTGAAACTCATTTATAAGTGGATCTTTAATGTAAAGGATGAGTGAAATATGGCTGGGTACGTAGACTAGCCCCAAGCTAGCTTATGTCTGACAGACTATAGGGACATCAAATGTCAGCCTTTCAGCAGCTGCTTTGATATTTCATTTTGGAGACGTGTCCATAAAACATGTAGAGGCTTGTGTAGGTCATTTATTTTTTCCTTCATACTTTCTGAGCTAGATTTTTACTTCTGAGGAGGGTCACAACAGATGTTTGTTCTTACACCTGACAAAGTGCATGTTTTCTTTGCCAGTTGCTGACTCCTGCAAGTGCAGTGTGGCTACTCAAATCTGAAATGCTGGCATATAAGAATGCTGGTTATGGTTTATTCAAATAATTTTAAAAATTAATATTCGAATGCTTATCTCATCCAAGATTTCCCTCATGTCTTACCACTACCTACCTCACAGATTTTTATCTCCTCGGTTTTTGCACTGATCTTCCTCTATGCCCTCAGCTATTCCCATAAATTTATGCAATGGCTTTCTCTGTAGACTTTCACTGAGAGCAGCCAACTCTCTCCTGTCTGGCTTTCTGTATCTTTGCAAATCTCATGGGAAACTTCGTCTCTCAGTATTTTCTGTTCTTCAGACACAGTGTTTGCACTTGCACTTGTTAACATCATCACTGTCGCTGGACTCTGTACCTGCCTTGTTTTAACACCATGAAACACTTTTGGCCTCTTCATGTAAAAGACAAAACTGAAGTTCTGCTGACTTTTACATCTAACCTGTTTTCTTCACCTTGCCTTTTTCCATGCCTTCTGTACTTTATCAAGCCACAGTCAGCCACAACACAAGCACTAGTCTAAAGGTGATCCTATCCAGTGCTTTACACCATGCCGCATGCCATAAAAAATGATAAAGAGGTTTATCAGGGATAGAAAGCACTTACTGACAAAGTGTTTCTTAAAATTATCCTTACTTGACATCTGACTGCAGGAAGTTTGGATTGTTTTTACTGCAGTCCAGAAAATTGCTCCTGTATCTGCTACTGATTTTGCAAACTAGCAGCAAATGGTGAGACTACCTCCTGGATTTTTTGCTACTGCTGCATTTACTAAAGCTGACAGTAGCTGCAGCAGTTCTCCATCTGCCCAACAGAAGACTCAGAAAGCTACCTTTAAATGAAGCATATGGCCATGTTGGAAGAGAAATGAGAAGGATGCTGATGCCCTCTCCTGTGCTACATAAGCAACAGAAATTTCTTGCTTATTTTGGCAATTTTCCAAGGTTCTGAAAAGCTCCTGTCATGCACACCTATAATAAAAGTTACTTTGAGATATGTACTGGGAGCACTGGCCCAGGTTTTGACCATTGATGCTTTCTGTAGTTTTCCTGTAGCAATAATGTAGCCATCAAGTATCAACTGACCAGCTAAGAAAAGTAATCTGGAAAAACTGCACAATCACAAGGACTTGCTATGAGCCAGAGGAGTGCACAAAAGGGATTCTTTTGGTCTAATAACCCATTTTACCCGTGGTATATTTCTGCCCAGAATGCAGAGCACGCATGCTCAGCTCCAAGCATGGAAAACAACTCTTTTGCAGCCTCTGAATGTGGCTTTGCTGGCTGTGGCAGAAGCAATGGAAGTGCTCGTCTGTGATGTGGAAAAGTAGCACTTTGTCCTGAGCAGCTGCCACCTGCAGTCCAGGGCAGGACAAGAGCAAATGTCCTTCCAGGCTTACACTCACCCTTCTAGCCTACTCAGCAAGCACTTCTTCATCCTCAGATACACATGCTGTCCTTCCAAACAACACCAAAGTGTCATTGGCTAAGATTTGAGCCTTTTTCTGTGGAGATGTAAATAAAAGTCTGGCCGACAAGTGACGTTTCTGAGAATACTCAAGGAAACAGCCATTTCAATATTATATGATTCTGTAAAGATTTGTTGTGAATCTTGATCTCTTCCTTCCCAAATTCCTCCTAGTAAGCACACGCCTGATATCCTGCATTTTCACAGCATGTCTTGCCCCGAGTTTTTACCTGTGATTAGTTTTATATACTTTTAGTATGAGTATTAAATTCTATATGTTTAGTCCATAATGTTTCAACATAGTTATAATCAGTTTTGCATAAACTGTCTGGGTTTAAATACAGCTAAAATGTCAAAATGTAGCTCACATGTATCTATTTCCTGATGTTAAATGTGATGAGTAAATATATGCTTTTTAATATCCTTACAGTTTTTCCTATGTATATTTTTATAGAAGATTTTCTTTTATATATATATATAATTCCATTTTTGTCTTTAAATATCACTGAGTAATGACTATCCTGAAAAGGCAGAATTAAGACTGAGCAATAAGCAGCATTTCTTTTTTTTCCCCTAAGACTGTGCTCTGGGTGGTATCGTTACACTGGAATTAGTCTAGCCTTTACATATTAATTTTTGCATCTCATCAGTGAAATAATGTGTTTATGCTAGTCAGTTTAAGGCACATCTTAGAAAACCATGAATTAGCACGTTACCAGAACATTTCCAGGGGGACAATACATGTTTGGAGGCAGCCTTAGTTGGAATAGTATGTACATACCCCTGGTAAAAATAATCACAGGGCAGCGTGAGAAGACCTTACTCTCTGACAGTGTAAAAAGTCATCCTGTGCAGAAACTTACTGGCTTTATTCCCCTTTATCCCATATTATGTAACAAAATAGGTAAATTACCAAGTTCTTATACACCCAAAACGATTTGATTGTTTTATCTACCAGTGAAAGAATGGAAAGGAACATTGGATGCAGTCTTATACAAGACCGCAATTAATCCAATAGGTCTCAGAAGCTACCTAAATGAAAAAAGTAGTCCTATCTTTCACAGGATAACTACAAATTATAAAAAAAGTCTGAAAAAGGTGCTACTTTTTCACTTGCTTCTATCGAAGGATTGTTATCACAGACACCTGTTTGCTGCCTTTTGAATTCGATTAGCAGCTGAGTGCAAGAGGAATGCCGATTTGTTCAGGGCGCTGCCTATTGCTCTCTAAGCAGTGCCAGCTGGGGAGGGAAGCCCTAAGGTATATCGGGAGGGGGCCAGGGTAGCATCTCTCAGGGGAGCGAATGTGACTCGCAGCAGGATCCCTGGGCAGCCTCGAGCTTTGGGACAGACAGGTGGGAAGCGGAGCGGCGCAAGGGAAGGGCTAGGGCGGGCTGGGCTGACGGGGCTAACGGGGCTAGCGGCACGACCACCTCTATTCCCCGGCACTGCCGGGCTCTGGGCTGCCCTCCTCTCCGCTGGGGGTGGGAAGGGGCAGGCAGGGGGAGGTGCTGGGGGCCGGGCACCCTGCCGGGCCGGCGCTGCCCTCCTCCCGCCCCGGGCCGAGCCGCTTCTTCAGCGCCGGGGCGGTGGCGGCGGCAGCGGTGCCGATGGTGGCGGTGCAGCAGCGGCGGCGGCGCTGGGAGGTGGCCGTGCTGCTGGTGGCTTACGTGGGCTACCTGGGCATGGGCGCCGCCGTGCTGCAGGCGCTGGAGCGGCCGGTCGAGGTGCAGGTGGCCCAGCAGCTCCTCCGGGTGTACTTGGAGATGCTGGCCAACCACACCTGCCTGCAGGAGCCCGTCCTGCAGCGGCTCATCGAGGTGAGCCCGGGCACGGCGGCGGAGCGGAGCTCACAGCCCCCGCTGGGGCTGCGGGGCGGGCGCTGCCCCCGGCCCGGGGGGCGAGAGCGGGGCGGGAGCGGCACCAACCGCGCCTCCAACCCGAGAGTAACTTTAAACAAAAACCCCCAAGTTTTTTCCCTGTGTAAGCGTGTGTGCACACATCACCCTGTCCCGAAGAAGCCGCCCACGGCGTGGGAGCTTTCGGCGGGCAGCCCCTCGGTCGCGTCGGGCTCCCCTTGGGCTGATGGAGAGATGCTTTCGTTCTCCGCTGCCTCCCACGAGCTGCGCGGGCTTTGAAGCGCCGCTGTCCTGACAGAAGGCAGGCGGTGGCGGAGTGTCCTGTTCTTAAGTGACAATTGCCTGCGGTTAATTACAGGTGTTTAGGTTTGCTCTTGAGAAGCATGAGTTACAGCCTATGACGTCTTGCAAGTGGTAAATTCTAATGGGAAGGCTTTGTGGTGGTAAATTTAATTGATGTTTATATTAGTGTCAAACTTTTTCCATCTTCTACTTGTTGTTTAAAGGGAAGTAGAAAGTCCTTGGGTCTCTTAAGTTATCCTTGAAAATGCTTCTGAAGATATTTGCAGGATAGTTGCAAAACAAAGCAACAACAAATGCAGTCTTAGTAAAGTATAGATGATTGCATTTTTATGATACAGATACAAGTAAAGTGCCATAAATGGATTCTGTCTTTGCTCAGCTTTTGCCTGAAAGAGAAAGACCTACAATGCTGTAGTGTCTTGAGTACTTACTCAAACCCTTTGATTTCAGTAGGTGGTTGGTGGTAGTTGAGTATGTACTTCCCGCTTTGGTGTGTCTGCCTCAAATAGATGTTGCAAAACACAAAGAAAACCTAGAGTTGGTTTGTTTTGTTGGGTTTTTATCTGCCTGTTTGTAGAATCAGTGTATGATGGTGTCAGAAACCATAGCAGCTGGCCACTGCATTTCAAAGAATCTGAAAGAGGCTTGGATTTATACTTCTTTTTTATTATTTTTTTAAACTTTTTTCTCTTTCCAGCAGAGAGGAAAATACAGAAGGCATCAAATACGATAATCATGTCAGGTGTTTCAGCCAGGCTCTGGCAGACAAAATTATGCTGATACTCTGTCACATTCTCATCCCTTGGCTTTCTGGATGGTATATTCTCTATTGGAAGTCAGTAGAACAGTGATCATATGCTATAAATTTGGACCTTTGTAAGCTACCATAGTAATTACTTTTATTATTTATGGTGTGTGCTGTGCTAGCTGTGGAATTTGAATAGAGAGAAGTGAGAAATGTGGCAGAGAAGCTAAGCTTCATTCAGCACTGGCCCATTGTGTAGTGAGCACCTGGTATGGTACTTGTCCAGGGGTTGCAAGGGCTTGGTGAATGATGGTAATGAGGTGCTAGTAGTGGAGAGAAGATAATCACAACTAAACAGGTAGAAATGTCATTCTGTCAGTTTGTTTTACTGCATTATGACCTCTAATCCTTCTTGATACCCCAGGAATAGGACAGCCACTCAAATCCCTTTAGGCCAGAGGCTGCTATAATATGCTGTGTGAGTACTTAATTATGACTGAGGAAGCCCTTGATGGAAAAGTTACAAATAAGCTTTGTTTAATTTTATGCAGTGTCTGTGTGTGCCTTCATCCTCTGAGAAGCCGACCTCTGAGTTTGAATGGCTTTGTGTGTGATTTTTTGAATAACTTTAACACTGAGACGTTAATCCTTAAAATCCCCAGTACTGATGCTTTCTAATTTCCTATGCAGCAATCATTGGCATGTTCTAGGTGTGCTCCAAAAGAGATGTTTTTCTGTGCAGTAAATTGTTATTGCAGTATGTTGCACATAGTTTATCAGGCAGTGTCATCACTGGCTCTCTTCAGATATGAAACTTGTGTTCTAGATACACAGCTGATTATTTGCTAATTAAGAAAGACATATAAAGAGTGTGAAAACGTAAAGCAGTGTGTGAATTTTAATTGCCTTGACATTACTGGCAATTCCTCATTGTTCTCGTATAGCTCTTTCATTCCAGATAATCCTAAACTGTTTATTTTAAGTGTATGGGGCCAATATGAAATGAAATCCTAGTTTGCTGAGCAATGTACAAACATAATTTTACAACCTGTTTATTGCTTAGTTCCTAGTTACCAACCAGGAGTGGAAATCCACTGTTCCAACCCTTGTGCAGATGGAGATGGGAGAACAAGAGAGCTCCAGCTTTGAGGAGCTAGCAGGGAGAGCACAGAGTGAGGCTGGGCAGGAGGGAAGCAAAGCAAAAAAACCAATGTTGTAGTAGCTAGACCAGTGAATTATTATTCAGTAATTTCTGTGACCTGGGTCCTTTCCAAGGAAGAAGTCTGCTAGTGAACAAAGGAGAGGACAGGAGGAGGTGAAAATAGCAGATGAGCAACAAAAACAACAGTGGAGGAGAATGTGTTAGTGCAACATCTGTGGTGGTAGCCCCTGCTTCCTGTAGCTGGATTTTTGTTGGGGCTCTCTTGCCAGGAGGGATTGGCCAGCTCTTCCCTTGCAGGAGCAGTTCCACATCTCCTGAGCAGTCGAAAGTAGCACGTGCAAGTGCTTTACACGTAAGCAAATGAGCAATGAATGGCCGTGTGTTTATACACACACATGTGGTCACAGTGCCTCTATTGTGCCCTAAGTCTCTCCACAGTGCATCCAGTGACCTTTACTCAAGGAACACATGAGTTTGACTTTGCTGACCCATCTAACCCCAGGCTATTGTTCTGCCATTGTACACAGTCTGACTGAACACATGCTCACCAGGAACAAGACTGAGAGCAGGCCATCCTTGAGAGCCACTAGGTAACATACAAAGGGGGCAATATCTGGCTTTCTATTAGCATTATGGTGGTGATCTTTACATGCCAGAATTACTGGGTTTGAGGTTACATCAAAGGAAGCTCTCAATGACAAGACTTGCAGGAAATGGTAGCCAATGCAATGGTAAGACAGATTGCAGGTAGATACCCTTTCAGTAGAATGAAGAAAAGTAGCTAGACTCAGCTGGACCCTTTCAGTAGAATGAAGAAA